ATGCAGCAGAAAGCGGAACGCGCCTATCTGCTGCAGATAGGGCTTCTGGCGTCGCTTGCTCAATGTGAAGCAAAGGTGCAGTAAAGATTTTTAAAAGCAAGCGGCTGCTCTACCACAATAAGACGGCCCATAGCCTATTGGATAAGGCGTCAGCCTTTCAGTCGCAGGTCCTGGGCTTGATTCTTCCAGGCCTATCTGCTGCAGATAGGGCCTCTGCTGTGTCTTTAATCCCTTCCACTCCAGCAGGCGGAGAAACGCGCCTATCTGCAGCAGATAGGGCCTCTAAGAGTTTTGATGAAATACAACCCCTTCCACTCCAGCAGGCGAAGAAACGCGCCTATCTGCTGCAGATAGGGCCTCTACTGTGTTTTGATGAAAGACAATCCCTTCCACTCCAGCAGGCGGAGAAACGTGCCTATCTGCAGCAGATAGGGCCTCTACTGTGTTTCGATGAAAGACAACCCCTTCCATTCCATCAGGCGCAGGAGCGCGCCTGTAGCCGTATGTGTGTGTGTGTGTGTTCTGTGTGTATGAGTCAAGAACCTTAATTTCAAAAAGTGGGTCGTTATTTTCAGGTGAGGTCACTGAGGTCGGTATAATTCATGTAGATTTATACGCATGTGATTGGAGATGGCCCTGAAATGGCTATGGAACATAAACCAAAAACCTGGGTAAATGCCGCGGGTCCCGTTCACGAGCCGTAGTCAAATAGCTTGTTGGTGTTCAGTTGGTCTGAAGATTCTCACAGCGATCCACTCAACACCACCGAATTTGGATACCCTTGGAACTTGATTCACCACAGGCATGGTGCAAAGTTGTACCGGTTTGACCAAATTGGTCTCACTGTCATTCACTGTCTGCGCTTTGTCCAATCGCCACCACGGGAAGCAATAGGCTGAGGTAAGTTGTATGAGTCATTATGAGTCTGTGAGCATCAGGAAAACTTACCACCCACCAGTCCTCTGCACCCCAACCAAAATAACCAAGGCCTGCCAGGCCATTTAAGGCCTGCCAGGATCCATCCTTTTCCCAATGAACGACCAATAACGACCACCATCAACTTCGCCGAGCGAAGGTCGCGAGATCTCGCCCATGGTCAATTGAACCATGTGATTCCATGGAACCATGTGGGGGGGAAGCCTACTTAAGTATGTGTTCCCTGTTTTGTTCAGAACACATGTGATCAAACAACACGTCAAGCAGCTTGCCATTGTACCACAAGACAATGCAGGCATTTTTGTGCTTCTCCTGCAGACGAACGGGCAGTCTCTTGCATTCACCGTCACAGCCAGGAGCTGTCCAATCTAAACCGTCACGGCTATGTGAAGACTGGAAAGCACCTCCTGACTGGGCGTGAAACAATGGATGGGGTTCAATCATACATGTGAGGCCCCAAACCATCTGAGCTACATATGATCTGTAATATCCTAGGTCCTACCTAGATCCTAAAACTCTGTTTTTTTGTCTTAAGAAGCACGGCATGTTCTCATCAGCGTTCCATGTGGATTCAGATCCTTTCAAGATCATAAGAGGGTGGCCTGGCTCATCCTACAGTACCGGGCTTCCAGATGGTGCCCCCAAGAAGGATCAGCTCCACGAACTGGCTTGTTGGCGAAGGAAGCACTGGACAATTCTTGTGCTGAATGAATGTGCTATCGGCTATATCATTTTAGCTCAACTTATCTGATGTCTTTCAAAGATGGAAAACCCCGGTAATGATCCGCAATGTCCCCCACACTACGTACAGTGACATTGCAAATTATGGATCCTCATTGACACGAGGTTCCTTACAACATCTACTGGAAACCGTTGTGAAAACTTCGCTAATTGATATGACTGGTCTTATTGCCTGTGAGCTAAGGTGGCATGGATGGTACGCACGTCATGACAGGTGTGCCCCGCTGCCATCATAGGAAGGGTGATCTGCGCTTGCAGTTGCCCGGCCAACCCTCTCGGACAACCCCTCTCGTGCAGTTGACGAGCTGAGCAGGAGAGTCCTTGTCGCCTGGAAGGTACATCCCTGCGTCGAAGAAGTTTTGTTGCTCATTGTTCCAAGAGTAGACTTGGATTGGACACCTCCGTGAGACAGCTGGAACACTACAGAAGTTTTCAAGAGTTTGGGCGTCAAATCCAGTGACCTATGGTTTTGGGGTTCCCAGTTTGCTTGTATGTCGTTTCTCGAGATATCTGAAGCTGGTGCCCACTTCCAGACAGGTTCCTGCTATTGGCTATCAAACGGTGTTTCTTTTTGACCATGATGGGATCCACCTTGAGTTGGTGTTTTCACCAAACCGGGTCCTGTCAACTTATGACAAACAACAACCAACAACTGCATGAACTCCACCTGTTCATGTCTAGTTAGTGGGGAATCCATCAAGAACAGTGTAAATCCACTTTTCCTGGATCCGGGAGTTCCAGATTTTGGAGAAAACAAGGAAGGTCTTTCGCGACTAAGTTGTACTGAATATATCGTGTAGAGTGAAGCAACATCGCTTAATACCCTCCTTGAAATCATCATGGAAGTGGATGGCACAACCCCCTGTTTTGTAGAGGAATATGGGTCATCCAACGGGCCATGCCATCCACATCCATGATGTCCAGGGAGTGCAAGTAGATTGAACAATCGAACACTCAACCAAAGTGTCCTTTGGCGTGTTTCATACCTCTCGAGCCGCTCGGGGAAGAATTGCTACTCTGAGCCTCAGACCGCTCTGGAGCTCTCTAAAGTCGAACTGAAAAAGAACAGACGGTGCAATTCAGGAAGCGCTTGTGACAAAAATGAACAAACATTTTCCATGTAGGTTCCCAACGTAAACCATCCTCTAGATATCAACTGACCACCATCTACTTTGTGCCAACACTAAACCTGAGTCCGGATGCATTTGCCATTTTGGGGGGCTCGCTGCCCACATCATCAAAACAAAGGCCACAAAACGCACCCAGCACTTCTATAATTCTACGGACTCCGAATCTCTCCCATTCCGACCTTTCCAGGGCAGGACGAACCGGACATACATCGGTTTTCGCGACGAAAACGTGTCTCGGTCGCGCCCAGGTGCTGGATGAGATCTGGAAGAAACTTCAGACAAATCTCATCGCCCCAGGTCCGCCAGTCTTCGAGGCCGGTAATGTATTCATCCACCTGATGTAGGCCGTTTGGAGGGCCCCCCCGACTTTGGAAGGCGAGGTGAGCAAGTGCGCATCCACTCAGATTTTTTTGGGGCGGAATAGCTAATAGCTATGCTCATTGGTATATCTCTAAACATCACTATGTTAACTATAGTCTCCGGGTATGCCTTAGCAAGTTTGTAAGCCGGCTTCTCTAAAACGCCCTAAAAGCTCGGCCAGGACTAAGCGGGGCAAAGTGGTGCAAACTGGGTCGTTCACATGACTTTCGACCTACGCAGTCCGCTAAGGACTTTAAATTGTCACAGAATCAAGAGATATTGGAAGTGCTTTCCAGTGAATACTGTCATCTGATCGCAATTCTTAAACAAAACCGTGTTCTATCCACTTGAGGATGACTACAACTAGTTTGGGTCATGGTGTCTTTTCACACTTGAACCAGGCCCGATGGGATTCGTTGGTGTTCGGCCCATGTGATCCCTTTTTAGGCACTGAGCTTCTGAAACACGCCTGCCAAACCATGAAATCGTGTCTTCGACTCGTGTGGATCGTAGAATATACATGTAGCGGCAAGCCGGGCGGTGATCCTATCCTAAGAGCAACATCATCGCTCCAGCACGCCATCGGTAAAAACAAGATTGTCCAACAACTCGTTCAGATGCTTCACTTCAACTGGCTCTTCAGCCCAAAGTTTCACCAGAGCTACGGTGCTGGTATAGTAGAAACTCCCCGTATATTGGAGGCGTGCAATCCCCACTGTTCACCATCCATCCCGGGGGGGTCCGGCGGGGTGGAAGATCGTAGTTCACTAAGCCGTACCTCCAAACAAATTATGTAAAAACAGGCCCAGTGTTTACTTTATTTCAGGTCTCCAGGACACGCGCGTGGGACCGACTCCGATGGGCAAATCGATTCTGGGTTTTCGGGTTTGTGGAGGGGACACGAGTCCTCATCTGAACGGCCTCTTAGCCTGTGTGGTGAGGAATAGAATGGAATAATGGTGGCTGGATCCTTTTCCCGATTTCCCACTGAGCACCAGTCAATTAACCTCATGAAGTACCCTCCTTAGACTTCAGACAGTTCCAGAGTGTCCATCTCTTCCAACCAGAACCCTGGTTGGGCATCGGGTGTTTCACTTGAAGTGGACTGCAAGGACAACGAACTCCAGTGAGCAATGTTTATCCCCATAGATCTGTTTGTGGTTGATTCCCTCCGCGGCACAACCTTGGTGACCATACCCTTTCTCATAACTTGAGGCCAGGGGGGAGAGGTCGAAAGCTAGCCGAATCGCACCGGATGTACTAGTTACATAGTCGGCAAAGCATGTAGGGATTACATGTTTTGGGAGGAAGGTTGCTATGTACATACTTTGCGCTAAAGAATGTAAATGTGACATCGCTGACTGGGAAGGGTACATTGGAACAACCCGGGTGCACTCGTTGGCAGGCACGAAGATGCGTGATCGGCAAATCTGGGGGGTAAATTTACCCTCCGCTTTTGTATGCCTTGAGTCGGAAAGAGGGGTAAGCATTTCTGACATCATACGGACTGTACATACACTAGGGCGTCCGTAGTGTAGGAGAAGCACGGGTAAAAGGTATATGGAATAGAGTGTCTTGAGGAAATAGCCGGTGTATGGTTATTGCAAATCTGGGGGGTAAATTTACCCCCCCACTTATGTATGCCTTGTGCTGGAAAGAGGGGTAGGGACTGTGCATACACTAGGGCGTCCGTAGTGTAGGATAAGCACTGGT